TTTTTTTTTTTTTTTTTTTTTTTTTAACCCCGAGGTCATGACAGGAAAAGCATGCAACATAACTGTGGGTAGAAAGAACAAGCAGCAGAAATTTATTTAGTTTTACTCCAGAGAAGTCTAAACATAGATTTGTGGAATAACATTAAGAATGGGCATAGTGCACGTTGCTTGGACTAGCCACAGATCTTGGCAACATGTAGCCATCCTTTCTCTTGGTTCAAGGCAATACAGACATACAGACTGCTCTTCTGGGTCATATAAGAACTCTGCAGGGCCCTAATTTCTTCTTAATTAGAAGCAAAACAAGAAGAAAAAAGAAAGAGAAGCCAGATGATGTAGTGATAGTGGAAACACCTCCTGCTTTTGGTGTTCAGATTTTCATTCTGAAGTTCTATCGCAGAATCATGTTTGCTAGTGGTTACATGGGCTTCCATCATCATGTAGCAGCTTTCATGGATTCTGGTTTTTGTCTTTCCAGAGCAATCTTGAGGCCTGTCGCTATCCGCTAAATGGTAATTGGAAGTAGCCAGATTCTCTCATATGCATTACTGCAATTGCTGGCAAATTCAAAGCAACCGTTCCTCCCTTTACCAGTGTATACACTATTCCAAGTATTTGCTAGTCATGTTCATACAGTAATTAGGTTCTGAGTGCAAGTGCAAACCCTTGCAAAATCAGTTGATGGGCTCTCACAGAAACTTTTATCTCGGCAATAAGAAAGTAAAGATAGTGCATGATCATTTACATACTTGAAGACAGCAATCAGCAGGTTTACCAACAGGATATTTGCTACCAAGAGGTAACAGGCCATAATAGCAGGAGTGAGCCAGGCCCCTGGTATACATGGAGGGAGGCGTTTACCATCATCATCATAAAGATTGTCCCCACAAGGAGCTGAAGAAAAAACAGGAAAGGTATTTTTCACAAATTGCCCAATACTTAAAAACATTATTCACATTTATTTAACAATGACATGTGCATAAAATTTACCAAGCTAAACAAATTTTGTCAGTTTATTTCCAGTAGCAAGTACGTATAATTTCCACTTCAAGTTCTGATTCTAACTAAGCATACAAAAATAATTTCCCATAATAGTGAACAGAGAGGCAGCTCAGAGTTTACTGTAGTGGGGGTTTTTCTTCAAATTCATATGGATTTGCTTTTTCTTCATAGTAATAGTCTAGGACAAGATCTTAATGTGCCCACGTACATATTAATAGTGGATTTAAAAAAATTCTCCAACCAAACTTACGTGCATACCTTGCCAAAGATATAAAAGGATTTACTTAGTGGTCCCAGATTGCTGAGCATAAATTAAACCTTTATCAGGGCCCTGAGGTGTACTAAAGAGGCCTTAATGATCCTGACCAGCTTCAACTGGGGTCTACACCTACACCCCCTATGCATACCTGTCCCTGCCTGAGCTATGTCAGGTGTGCAGGTCTCAGCCCCGCCTCCTGAATGGACCTTGAACCTGCGTTTGTCCCCTGAATGGACCCTTCTTCTGTCTCTGGCCCTGTCTCCTTTTGCCCCTGGCTGGACTCCCTAGATCAACCCTGGACTATTATTTGTCCTGTCTGGGGCTGTGAATGTTACCAGCAGATGGCCCTGCTGCCACTTCTGGGCCAATTTCTGTTTCCCTTATTTTTCACAATATTCTAAATTTTAGATAAAAATTTAAACCAAAGAGATAAAATTATAAAATGAAAATGGTAGTAACAGCAAAACACACTGGTGAGAATGAGACAAAAATTGAGAATATTGATCAAACGGATATAAAATAATTGCCTGAAGTAATCCTAAGAATACAGAGGTTGTCTTGGGGTAAGAGCTGTCTTGGAGTTGGGTATATGCAGCGTTTGTTCTGTCTTTAAGTGCAGCGTCAGCATATCTGATTTCGAACATAAGGCTAGCTTGTGGAACCATTTAGTAGCAGGTAAAGTGTTTATCAACCACAGGTTCTTTAGCTGAAATCTTGGTAAATACTAAATCCAACAATGAGTTCATTACAATTTAGTTTACATGAATAGATAAACCTGTATTTTTAAGCATTTTGCAAAAAACCCAATGCTTCAACCTCACCTGAAAAATACTTCAAATTATTTGAAAACAGACTAATCTTATTTACTGTGGACTGAAAGAGATATTTATACTATGATTAATAAAATATATTTTACTTGGTTTTCAAACAGCAAACCTACGTTCTTCCTTTTTATCATAAAGAAAGTATAACAGGAAAGTCAAGTGAATCATAATATTCACATGGACCAATGAAAGTACTGCCAAAGAAACACTAACATTGTATCTAGGTAATCAAAGAGAATTAGTTATACTGTGACACTCATGCATCATAATTTTAAAAAAGAATTATTTTACTGTGAATGCACTAGAAACAAGTCATAGCAACCACATAACCTCAGTTAAAACTTCTGATCTGCAATCTGTATTAAAATAAAATATTTTTCCTCTGCTTATTTTCAAATGAAACTAATACAGTAGCAAAACAAGATTCACACATGAATATTGGATGAGCCCTATAATTAAAATGTCACTATCTAGTGAAGAAAAAGATTAATGAACATATTCAGCTAAATGTGATAATCAGCTCTCCACAAAGACTTACGATTAATTTCCATGGCATAGACTGAACAGCATTCCAAAGGAACGAAATAGAAAAGGAGGCAGGGAGAGAAAGAAAGAAAACAATAGAATAATACAGAAGAAAAAAAAAAAAAGATGATTGAAAATACAGTTTTGCTGCCAAGAAAAGATAACCAACTCAAATGTCAGAACAGTAGAGGCATAGGCTTAGAAATGATGTCTTTGTTAAAAATGCATTGCATTCTGCAATTTCCTTTTCATGTTCTTTTCCCCAAATGTTATATATGGCAGCGAATTCATGATATTAATAATAAATCACAAAATGCTTCTGGCAGATGATCACTTAAACATACACGATATTTCAGGCAAGTAAACAAAACTGGTGGTCACTACGAACACAAAACAAGTCAAAATTATCACACAAAATCACTCTTTTAGCTATTATGGAAACATGGAAACATTTCCTCCTTTTTTTCCTCTTTTTTTTTTTTTTTTTTTTTTTTTTTATTAAGAACCACCCTGGCTTTGAGTCTGCCAGCTGTTTCTATTGAATAGCTATGTTTCCATCAATAGTCATGATACTGATGTTATTACAGTGTACAATATCATTAAAGTCCACTTTGACTACTGGTATGGATACTTGCTTGCCAACCCCTAAATGGTGATTGTAAGAAAAATCACACTATTGAAAGAAACTCAGCCAGGCTTCTCTATTGTTTAAGAACATGTTGCTGTTGAGTACTAGATGCCACTAACTTCTTGCTCATGGACATCTATATGGAATGAACCAAACGAGCATCCTGGGTTGCATTAGGAGAAGTGTTGCCAGCAAGTTAAGGGAGGTAATTATTCACCTCTACTCAGCTCTGGTGAAACCACATCTGGACTTGTGTGTCTAGTTCTGGGCTCCCCCATAGAAATCAGACATGGACATACTGGAAAGACTCCAGTAAAGGGCCACAAAGATTATTAAGGTGACTGGAGCATCTTACAAATGAAGGAAGGCTGAGAGAGCTAGGATAATTTAGCTTGGAGAAGAGAAGGGTCAAGGGATATCTTACCAATGTTATAAATACCTGATGGTGGGTGGGAGTAAAGAAGACAGAGCCAGACTCTTCTCAGTGGTATCCAGTGAAAGGAGAAGAGGCAGTGGGCAAAGACAGAAATATGGGAAATTCCATTTAAACCAGGTTGTCCAGAGAGGTTGCACAGTCTTCATCCTTCACAATATTAAAAACCTGACTGGCCAGTCCCTGAGCAACCTGCTCTAATTTACCCTGCTGTGAGCAGGGAAGTTTGACTAGATGATCTCCAAAGGTGCCTTCCAACCTCAGCAATTCTGTGATTTGTGATCATCTTCTTTAGGTGACATCCTATCCTCAGCAAAGCTACTCACAAAAGTCCAACTACTTTCTTTCAGATGGAAAATTTGATGTAATAATTTTTCCATAAATTGTTTACACTCATGGATCTTAGCAAAACTACGCATAAGCACTTGACACAGAGTCAGGTCAGACTGCCCACAGCAATCACTCCCCATGACTTCTGAAGATGCTTTTGTGGTGTGTTTACAGAGAACCACAGAAAGATCAGAGTGAAAATTTCTTATTGAAAGCTAAAAAGGTCTTCAGAAGTCAGTCCATAGACTTCTAGACATAAGAAACTTACAGAATGATGATGCAGTCTAGTTGCACCAGTAGAACTCCTTGTGTAGCCACTTTTACTTCAATATTAAAACAGTAACAAAACCACACATTTCCAAGTTAGCTTATGTTTAAGCTACTGACACAGCAAAGCTTCTGACCTGAGGTTAGTGGAGCAAGTAGCTGGACTGAACTTGTGTAACTGGAGAGCCTGAACTTTTTTTCCCCAAAATCTTTCACACTGCTGAAGAAAGATTTCTAATTCAAAGGATGCTGAGTATATAACTGAGAAATGACTGGAAGCATGAGAGAAGTTACTTACACTAAAAAGATCAGTACTGTTGGTAAGGTCTAAGTTTTGATTTATAAAGACACCAAACCATCTACATTGGCAAATGTTCTTTGTCCAAAGTGAAGTAGGATTTGAATGCACATTATGAGCCACAAAGGTAAGGGATACCCTGTTACAGTCTATTCCTCCCCATGGGAGAATTAACCCACTTGGGAGATCCTGAGTTTATCCTGGCTCACACGTGCAGTGAAACTGCAATATCAGAAAATAAATAACTGGCTTGACCTTTTATTTGTCAAGAGTAATTTACTGTATCATAAGCTACATTAATGAGACAAGCGTTTGTAAGGAAAACGAAGATGATACGATCTTCGCAACAGCGTACACTGTTCAGAAACAGATTAATGACATTTTATTCCTTTCTAAGCAATTAAAGTACACTTTAATGACATTTGGTATAAAGGTTTCTCATGATGATGGATCTTTATGGTTTTTGAACTTAGACTTCACAGTTACTTCAGCCTTCCACTTTACTACTTGTCAATATATGCAGATGGTTGAAATAACACATACACAATGCTGAAAGAGCAGCTTATATTATTTCAGATAAAGCGCAAACTATGTGATACACACTAGAGGAGGCCAGCTACATGTTTGACTGTACAAATTTCAAATATTAACACAAAACTAGCAGTAACATGACAGTTTGCATCTTCTCTAAAATGCTGACAGTTATTTTTTAAAACTGTGCAGCTTTTATATAAGAAAGGCTATTTCCACACCCAGAGCTAATCAAGCAGAGTTTTCCTTTTTTGCTTTGTTCTTCCACAGGTGTAGAAAAGAAGAACATGAGTGATTTATGAAATGGAAATGTTTCTGGAAAGTAGATAGATGTATCAATGGGAGTATTAGCTCATTGCCTGTGCTGTGAGTTGGATATGAAAGTATATGTATATTTTCATCTCCTGTGCAAGGTATTTATTCTTTTCTTCTTCTGTTGGAACTGACTGTTAGCAAAACACTGGTTCAAAAGAACATTTCAGAATGATCTCTCTTGATCCCTGCAAGTAAACAGAACACTTAATACTGTTATACTCTTGGACAGGAGAGTATTCCAGACTATATAGCTCTCAGTGTTAATGGAATTTGAATATAAACTGAAAGACAGGACATGCAGGCGGGGAACAGAAAATTGTTCAGTCTCTGGAGTCCGTCACAAGAAAACACCAACAATAATATAATCATAAAGACAAAACGCTACTTCCAAATTAAAAACAATCATTAATTTGGATCTGATCATCTGCCTCAGAAACAGGAAACAGACTCTTACTATGAATTCTACTCTTACGGTCTATCTGGTCTGCGAACACCTCTCCATAGATCATCCAGTAGGGCATATAGAAGATGTTGCGAGCTAGTCTCCAGGAAGGCTCCTCATCTGGGTGCAGGATAGCTTGACGGGCTACTCCAAAACTCATCAGAACGACAAGCATGATGACCACAAAGTAGAGCATGTCAATCATCTGCATGGAGAGACGATACAGAGGCTATCATCACCAGGTAGTACAGTATGTCTGTTTGCCAGCATGCATGAAAGTAAACAAGAAAGTATCAAGAGAACAAACACATTCCCCTGGATAATTTTCTTGATATTATTCTTTGACTTTAACTACTGCTCATGAATTAAGCATACATAAAAATGCAGTAAAAACAGTCATTTAAAGGAATAGTAGATTTATATTTAAAAAGACCTAAAATGCTAAAATCTTTGCTATTCCTATTCTCTTTTGCATCAAGTGCACTATGCTGTGCTTTCAGCACAGACCTCTTCTGTGGTTGCAAAGAGATGATATAATTGTTGCTGTATCATCTCCTGTCCACAACTGATGGTTTTGTGGATGATCCCAGTGTATCGGCAATCTGTTATTGCTATGGCTTTGGGAGGCAGAAAGCAGGCAAAGTGAACAAGTTTCCACAGGCTGGTTTAAAAAATAAAAAAAAAAAAAAGAAAGAAAAAAGATTCCCTCTCAAATCAAGCAATTATTAGCAAGAGCACTGCATCTTGTGTGTGTGTGAGAAATTCACATGGCAACTTTTTCACAGCCTTTATTCAGAGTCCTACTCAGATGGACAACCTTTTTTTTTGAAATCAGAACTGAATGTAGTTTCCCATGAAGTTCTGAAATACATAATTTACAGCAATTTAGGCACTAACCATCTTTCCAATCATCATGACGTAAGGTCCCAGATATTTGTTCACACCAAAGATATCTAGTACTCTAATGTACCAGAAAATGATATCTACGCAGTAAATCACTCTTCCATAACCCATATAAGGCTGGTTCTGTAGGCGAAGAATTGCTCCTATCATAAATACTGAAATAGCCACCAGGTCAGTAATATTCCAGTATTCCTGGAGCCAAACTTTCACTTTTTGGCTCAGCTTGCCAGGCTCTGACATCAGAATCTGAAATAAAATAAAAAAAACAACAAAGAAATCATTAGGAAAAACTCCAAGTTACATTTTTGAAGTAATGGTCATGAAAAAAGACCAATCTTGTCACATTCAATAAGTGTCTGAGACCCCCTCCACCACCAGCAAAATTTGTCTCAAGCAGCAATATTTTTAGTTACTAGCAGGCAAAATTTCCTTTTCATAGAAACATAGAAGGTTTGTGTTGGAAGGGACCTATAAAGATCATCTAGTTCAACCATCCTGCCACAGGCAGAGACATCTTTCGCTAGATCAGGTTGCTCAAAGCCCTGTTGAACCTGACCTTGAATACTTCCAGGGATGAGGCATCACAACTTCTTCTGGGCAACCTGTTCCAGTCTCTCACCACCCTCATCATAAAAAATCTCTTCCTTATGTCCAATCCAAACCTACCTTCTTTCAGCTTAAAATGGTTGCCCCTTGTCCTGTCACTACAGGCCTTGGTAAAAAGTCTCTCTGTGTTTCGTACAAGCCCCCTTTACATATTGAAAGGCTGCAGTAAGGTCTCCCCAGAGCCTTGTCTTCTCCAGGCTGAACAACCTCAGCTCTCTCAGCCTTTCTTCATAGGAGAGCTGTTCCAGCCCTCTGATTATTTTCGTGGCCCTCCTCTGGGCCCCCTTTTCACCTTTGTTTCTATTTTGGCTTTATTAAGCCTTTTTTTGTTGTAGGTTTTAATGAATAACATTTAAATCAGGAGATCTGGCTTGCTGACTTGGCATCCATATTTATCTCCAAATACAGTTAGTATGAGATGTGGGAATTGTGAATCAGAGAGAGACAGGGTAAGTGCAAACCACACTGCAGCATGTGAATACAGCAGAAGATTTTATGCTATCTTCCTCATACAAAAGTAATGAGATTAGTCAGATAGTACTCCTGGCCAGTTCCCCCAAACGCCTCTCTGTCGGCAGTTCTCATTAAGGACTGCAGCAGTAATAAAAAGACAGTACCTACTGAGATTTCCTTCATGGGTTATCGCCCTGCCCTTCCTTGGAAATACACATAAGAGAATGACAGCATTCATTTTGACTACTGACCTCAGGGTATTTTTGCCTGACCTTTCTGCCCAATAAGAGAAGGTTTTAATGTACGGGAATGGGTTATAAATGAAATTCTCTCCAGTGATGGGCATTTTGGGACTCTGTGGATAGGAGAATCTTCTCTCTCATGTATGGCTTCTCAACCCTCTGCACAAGTCCACGCCATTATTACCTCTAAGACCGACCTTCATTTTAAGGATTATGAGATGTTGGTATGATCAGACTTTACCTCTCTTACTTTCTCTAAAGCCAACGTCACAATGTAAGAGATGACAATCCATTCCTGGACTGATGGCCACCGTTCCATCCGCACCAAGATGATATAATTAAATAGCATCAAGTAACCGAGGTATGATATCTACCAAAAAAAAAAAAAAAAAGACATCATTTATGGGCTTTAGGTGATGGATCCCAGGATCCTCCTTCCACAGTTAGGCAGTATTCAATTACTTGAGATGACTTCCACACACACAAAAAAATCAGTCTCCACTAATTTCCATTAGGAAGTTCTGGACTATTAGCATAAGTCAATAAAGCTATCACTCAGTTTTCTATAACTACTGGTGTAAAAGTCAAACTGGTGATGCTGGTGTCTCCGTGCCTCATGGCAGTCTTCTGTGACCAGCCAAACTAAAAACTTCAGAGATCTTGGAAGTCCAGAGTTAAGAAACTAAAATGGATTCAATGGCTTTGCAGAAAAAAAGGGAAACAAAGCAGTAATAAACCAGAAGACTTTCCAGGGAGAAAATGGAGTTTTCTAAAGAATGAGATATGCAATGTGAAAGGTTTACCCACTATCTCAAAACACATCTAAAGCAGAACGGGGAGGCAGGGCTGTGAACAGCACCTGCCTGGAGGGGTACGGGAAATAAAGAGCCACACAGGCCACTTGCTTTTCTCCACCCTGTAATAATGTGGTTGAGACCATCTAGGCAGAATAAACTCTTTATTTAAAGCCAGAGGCATACAGAGTTCATATATCAGTCCCTACAACACCTCTTCCTATGCTTGTTACTTAAACCCATCTGCATGAATATGAACCAAAATATCCCATGCTTGCAGATATTTTGGTTACTTTAAGTAGGCCCTAGTTTCAGGAGAAAATTTCTTGCTGAAGCCTAATTCAGTAAGAGCACAGAAGGCTGCATCACCATGTCAGAGAAGAAACACCAAACAGAAGGCAGGAATATCCTCTTAGCTGAGGGGCCTGCATAATGCATAGAAGAGAAGCCCGGCCTAATTATGACATTCATACGAACATGTATGAATGCATATACTGAGGCTATGTGTGAAAGATTCAGGTGTTGAAGACCCTTATTTGCACAGGAAAAAAGATTTTCTTCTCTGAAGGAAGTGGGCCTGCTGCAATGCCCTTCCTATAGCTGCCATGCACACCGGCAGAGACCACGGGCCTCCAGCAGCTGAAGGAATGACAGATGCTGTGGAACATATGATCCAGGCAGCTGAATTATCTCATTTGTTGAAAGAATCAAAACAACAATTCCAAAGCACTCTAAATCAGGCCCTTTGTGCCTGGGGCTTTTTTAATCTACTAAAATGTAATTCCTTTACACTGTGAAACCATGTTGAATACTTTTATTTGAAATTAAATAGGAATTTTGCTTTTAAATTATTAATACAGGCAGCAGAAAGGGATCAGTATAGTGTTTTGTGATTACAATGTGCTAAAACTAAAAACCCACATAATATTAGGACATACTAGGTATTGGAAGTCTTCAAATAAAAAAGAAACCAATATCCTTTTTACAGGGCACACACAAAATTTATGAGCAGTAGCATGAACACTTTTTCTGTTTCATTAAAACAGAGTTTAGCACCAGATAATTCTCAATGTACTAAAGAAAAAATCAGATGCTTGTCAGAAATAAATCTTTTAGTTTAGATTGGTTTTAATTATTTAAATAAGAGAAAAGTACCTATTAAGTCTTAGTGGACTGGGATCTGTGCTTCCATTTAGGTTGCACTTATCTGAGCCCAACTGTCAACAGAGCAAATAGCAAGCACTGACACTATAGCATTACTTCTTGGGTCCTAAAGTGTATTTCAATGCAGAACAGGAGCCAGAGCCTTTAGAAAGCAAGGGAATCCATCCTAGTTTGGATTGAGTGACTGGATTGTGGAGCTTGCACTGAGTTTGACATATGATTAGCCAGACAGGGCCTCCTTCAAAGTGTGTAGAGCTTTAGAGGCTTACAGCATAAGCTTCAGTTATTCATTCTGTTTCATTGTCTACGCATTTTTCTCTGAATAAAGGGAGTGCTTCACTCATCGGATTCCATGAAAGTCAGCACTATTTATTTATTAATTACTTGGTTATTATTTTTACATTGGAATCCTTTAAGTTTCACAGGTGTGAGAAAAAAAATCACTATCAGTTTAATCATCATGACTTACTGTGTAGAACCAAAATTTGACGATAGGTGCATTATAGAATTCATAGATCTTCGTTCCAATTGGAAGGCTCTTTTGTTTTTTATTTCCATTCTCTTCATCTCCTTTTCGGGAGCCTGTATCCACATTTGCATCCTGGAAGACCAAAGTTGTCAGTTTTCATCAATATAACAGAGTAAAAATAGTAGCTTTTCCTCAAGTACAGCACCAGCCAACTGTTAACTACACGATGCTTCCTCTGAGCAACAGACATCTTTTTAAAAATAGAAAAATACAAATTCCGTAAATCTGTGCAACTACACAGATAAGTGACACACCCTGAGAATCCAGCCTATACACTCCCAAAACTCTTCACTGATTTTTATCCCACAGAGGCAGTTGAGATTTTACCCTGAGTGACCTATGACATAATCAGAGAATTTAGAAAACTGAGCACTCTTGAGATATTAGAACTTCCTAATAATCTCCATTACTGACCACATTTTCGTCCTCCTTTTCTCTGCCTTCCTCATTTTCTCTTGATGTCTGGTAAGAATAATCATCGTAACTCCGAAACTCTAGGAAAAGGATGGTGGGAGGGAAGAGAATCCCCATTATAACCTGTACAACAAGAAAGAATTCAACTCAGATGGCACTATTCGTTTACATTAATAGATTTCATAACAAGGCAAATCCCATAAACAATATTTTCTTTTGTATAGTATTCAAGATACTCTGCTATCCTCAAACCTACAAAAATGAATAAGTAATACTTATGAAGCATTAGCAATAAGGTCTTGTATGGAAAGATGGCACCCTGGAAGGTTTCCCATCTCCATGAATACACTGCAATTAAGAAATTGTGCTCCAGAATTAGAGTTGTGCAGAGAAATTCCATGGAATGGACACAGTGGTGGTTGGAAGAGGGTTTCAGGTTTGTTACTAGAGTTTATAGTTACTTTAGTCACTACTATAATTAGTTTTAATAGCTAAAAAATTTGTGAAAGGTAAAAGAACCTTTGCAGATAGCACTGGGAGAGTTCTTTTACTATATGAGATTGCTGAGATACAGAAACGCAAGCATGAGGTGCCAAAGTACAGAAAAAGAGCAAAGAAAAGAATGCAGGTAATGAAACTAGAACATTAGCAGGTTGATTAATCCTTTGGGGAAAAGAAAGGAAATCAATAAACAGATTTAGAAAGCACCATGATGCAATCTGAAAGGCAGGACAATTGCCTGAAGATTTTAAACAGGTTTAAGAGGGAAACATGAGAAAGTGGAAATAAATTGAGAATGACAGAAAGAGTGAAATGTGTATGTCAGCAAGCTTGGGAGTAAGATCTAGGAAGACAGGCATGGCACTTTGTCAGTAATGGGGGATTTAAGGAAATAAGGAGGTGAGACTGAAGGTGGCATCATCATGATGGGCCTCCATACGGGTGACAGCAACTGCATAATATAACAAAGAAAGGATTATATTCACATGAAAACACATACAAGCAAACACTGCTCTGCTTCCTTAACGTTGGCTCACTCATGTTTCTCTTTTGTGCCAGCCTCCTCACATTACTCATTTTTTTTTGTAAATCCAACAATCAGGAAATATAAAAAATCAGTAAGAGAGACCATATCATCAAATCACAGCAGAGGGAAATAAAAATCACATAGTTTCACACAATGCAATTGCACAGATTTCACTCTTTTCAACACTTGAGTCTCAACTCTGTGTCTTCCAGTACAATATTAAGCAATATAAGTAGCATGTGTCCATGTCTGGTTTGTTTTCTCTCTATTCTGATTGCGTGGACCCCTAATGGAGATCTTTTTGCTTGTATCTAACTAATTTTTAATCAAAGGTGTATGTTTTCAATGAACAGATCTCATCATTCATTGAAAGCCACAACTTTGCTCTCAGATTCCAATCATGCTAAGCCTTTTATGGATTTATATTTTTCTTTGTCATGGGGTAATGTTCCTTAGATATCCTGAATTTGGAAACAAAAAAAAAAATAGCTTTAAAACAGATATGTTCTTGAAACATCTATAATTAGTAAGCCAATTTGTTCTATGCATACGCTATGTCTAATGTAGTGTTACATGCAAAAAACTGTATCTTTGAAAACAACTGCAGAACAGAAATACCTTAAGGCCTGGGTTTTTCCGCATGCGTAGTCTCCCCATCCACATATCTGTTAAGAGCATCTGGCTGCATGTGTGGGCAATGAAGTCCCTGTGTTTAGCTGCCACAGCCAATTTTAGGCAGGTAGAATTACTCCAGTTTTTCAGTTCATACGTCAGTAGTTTCATGGCAATCTGCTCATCATGTTTATAGGACTGATCCAAGAGTTCAACAGCCAGTTGGCCAAAATCTCTGGAAAATGCAAGATAAGTCCAGTGAAGTTTGATTTAGAAATGAGTGTTTGCTTGCATTTGGGGTTTTAATTCCATTCGCACGGAGTCATGTTTTTCCACAGACATGTACAATGACAAGAACAACTGAGTCTCAAGCTTTATTTGGGACAGTCTATGAAAGTTCCAAACAAATTTTTAGTGACCAGAGAGAATTAGCTTAGACCAATAACATCTTAAGGCCAGTTTAGATATATTATCAGATACCCCTTAATTTATGTGAGTAAATCCTGAAAATACCTTTGTGAAATAAAACTGGATAGTTTTACAGAGAGAGAAGCTGAAGAAAGAATGTGTTCTGTCAGAAAAAATGCAAGTCTTCTCCTCGCTAGTGTTGCCTTCAGATTCTGAGACCACATTTTGGCTTGTTTACTGTTGATAAATTGGCTCCAAATGGCATTCTGTCAACCTATGTTCTAGAAATCAATTGTACTTTACTGAAAGTAAAGCTTCTCAGCAGGTCAGACAACCTCCTGTATCAAGTAGACATGAAGTCTGCTCTGTGTCTACTAACTTTGAGTTGTTGTCTAGATCCTGAGAGATGTCGTCCACCAGCTCACTCTCAGAAGACTCATGCGCCATAGACTTGTACAGTTTACAGGCCACAAGTGCCTTGGCCATGGTTTCCTCCCCTCGCTGCCAAAGGAAGAGTGCCATCTTTTGCCGTTTCATCAGCACGGCCCATAACATCAGTTCATGAAAGGGATACTGAAAGCGGCTGACTTCTGGGTCATCCACATCAATATCGATCTCTTCCTCCTTTTTCTTCTTCTTCTTCTTCCCTTTGGTGGGAGGCTCATCATCCTGGGAAGAAAAGAAGAAAAAATGTTCCCATCAGTTTTTAACAGCTTACCTGACAATGGCACCATGCACAGAACGAGTACTGAGAGGACATATTAATAGTTAAAGTTCTAATTTGTTTTTGCTGTTTGCTACAATGAATGTCAGTAGCAATAAAACTATGAAGAACACGTGACAGAGCATGCACGGGGCTAGCACACACAGCTTAATATTTTATTCAGAGAACCATTTCTTCCATACTTAATTACAAGTCACCCATCTTGGATAAGTACAGTAGAACCCTGTTGTATTGAAGGCATCACTTTACACTGCTTTGTAAGCAGATCTCTACTGTGTGTGTAATTGCACAAGTTGATTTGCAATGAAGTAATATTTAATGAATTCCACTGCAGTGTCAATGGAGCTTTACCAAACCTGAATTCACTACGAATAGGTTCCACTGTAATTTCTCATTTGGTATGTTTGCATCTATTCCTGAAGAACAGTGCTGTTTCAAACAAAGCAGTTTTTGGACTGACATGCAGGTGGAGAGAGTGGTAACATGCAAATGGAAAAGACAGGCAGACAGCGTCTTTAAGAACAGCAAGATACTAAAGGAGTCTTCACCTTTGAATAAGCAATCTCCTCTTATGTATGCAGTGCAAACGGAAGGTATAAGTATCCCATTTCTTAAAGGGATAGGGAGGATAGGCCATTACTACAGGAACCAACATGGAAGTAACTGAAGGGAGGTAAATGAAGCAGGATCCTGAAGGGAGAAAAGCCACGATGGGGAAAATTAGGGTTTCAGTAATGTGGGAAAAACATTGCATATATAGGTGTAGACAGAGCTCATCATCATTGTAGACCTTGACTCCAATCTCAGAAGTGGATCACAAGTAAAAACAGTTACAATTCTACAAAAACTAGTTTCTGTTGAAGCAAGCTCAGCATAATGCACTATTTTTTGATAAAATATGAACTTAAATCCAAATTCAGGGTTCAAGCCTCACATCCCAGGTTTCCAAAGACGACTCTTCCGCTCAACAATTAAGTATGCATTTCTCTTCCAGCAGTTTTAAGAACTCCAAGTGGTGACCTCCATCTCTTACAGAAAATTCAGGGGTCTTTAATTGCATGCACGTGAAGAAAGTGTTGAGCATCTCTGAAGCATAGGACATAAAATCTCAAATGGAGGATCAAAAATTAGGTCCTCCTCAGACTAGGAAAATCAAATCAAAATAAAGCCCTGGGTAAGAAAGACAAAGTGCTAAGGAGTCTAAACTTCCTGTTTTAGAGCTGCTAACACTGGAGATGAAAAAAACCCGAACACTTGGAGTTGCATCAATTTACTGACCACTTCAGCAAAAGAAATGTGAATTTTTCTTTTCACCTTTTCTTTCTCTTGGAAGAAGGGAGTGGGCTACATCCACTGTCAAGTGGAGAGAACACTTCAGTTTGTGCCACAGAAAACATTTCTCACAGAAAGAAATAGCAAAAATCAAAACGTGCTTTTGGAGAAGCACTAAGCAACCTATGTGTGAGCAACGTTGATTAAAAAGGGTCACACCTCTGAGGGGATGAGCTTTTGGCCTTGAGCCATTAGAAAACAGGAAGCTGATCAGAGAGATTAAACATAACCTGGACTTTCTCTGTAGAGAAGAAAGCTGCTTCATGGTTAAAGGGGATTTGACCATAAGCAGCACTGTTGGATTACATTCTCTTTTCAATATCATTGATGTTCGCATCTGAATGATTAAATCTACAATATGTTTCAACATGGAATGTGTTATTACATTATAGTGCTAAAAACTGCCTGAAGACTATTGAGCAAAGCTTTAAGCAGCTCTCAAGACCTTACCCATAAAAAAATGTCCAAGTATTTCATAGGCTGTTTGCAAAATGGAAGATCCTGTCTAGTTGAAATTTACTTCAGCCACAGTAATACTGAAAAAGCTAAGAGCAGGAGCAGAACTGTATCAAGAAATGCTCTGATAAAACCAGTAATTTACAATAAATCCAACTTACCTCCATCCCTAGTAGTTTAAGAGCTTTTGGCTGAATATTAAAAATAGAAAAGACAATCAGTTAGACGGGAGGGAAAATTCAAAGACCAAACAATACCAAAGAAAAACACATTTTCATTTACAAATGTACGGTGTTTATTATTAAACTTACTATTCTAAATAATTGTACCAATAATGGTACAATTAATTAATCTCCCTATTAATTGCATTTGCAGGAAGGCAATGGGTTAGAAAATATTTTCCATCCTGCACTCAAGTGAAATATTTTGATTCAGATGGAAGAGTTAAATGAATCATTCACTAATACACTGCTTTGAGAATTTAAATCACCACATGGTCACAAAAGCTTGAAAAAAATAGTGCTTCTAAGCACACACAGGGTAAGGATACCCACAGGAAACTAAAAAATATAATAGATCTTCAAACCTCTCACAATTTCCCAGTAAAAAAATCCTTCTGTCCCATTGTGAAATCTCTGTTCTACATTTTATGTAAAAGGTTTATTTGTTTTTTCCATCAGATAGTACTACACTATATAGGTACTATATATATCGGCTACAGAATACTTGGGCTTTGAGTGGCCTTTGACCATTTGTGGGGCTAGTTTCCTAGTGTGTTTCTTCGTGTGGGGCTTTCTCCAATTAGGCTAGGAAGCTTCACTTGACCTTCAAAGCTAAACGAAACAAATCAATAAGCTAATGAAGAAGAATATTCTATTTGCTTAGAACAGACCTTTTAACAAAGCAAGGGCCATGCTTGATATTCTCAGGATTGGTACATGACTATGAAATGCTTTACTGAGATTGCAGTGGCTTCCGTAGGGTAAGTAAGATTTATGCTCAGAGCAGGTCTTTACAGGACTTACTGTAACAGGTTCATAGCTCTTCTGTATTCAGACTAAACTTTCTGCCCTACCCAAGTTAAGGCTACTGTTGGTTATAATTACTTGATCAATAGGCCTGGCTTGACCAATACAGTTTACAGTTACAAGGAAGCTACAGCTTCAAGTAGGAATAAGTAAATATGCAAACACCACATTTAGAAATGCTTGGATCGTAAACTACTGAAATAGGAAATTCACCTCCAGATCAACGTATTTACCACCATTTGGGTCCTCCCATCCTTTAACATAGATGTTTTACAGGTTCCTTATATAACTTCACTACCAGAGTTTCAACTTCGGTCTTGCAGCATTTCTTTAGAATTTAACATGTAGTGTGTTTCACAAAGACAAAGGAACAGAATATTACTTATTTTTTACTATCAGCACGATGGCCACATCCAGAATGAACTCATTCTTACCCTCTTTGGTCCAAATAAATTATTATAAAGAGTCCGAAAACTTTTTCGAGTATAGTTGCAGCGATAAGCTCCACCCATGAGATATTCAAGTACAAGACCAATATCTATTAGGCTGATATGATAATCTGGTGGAAGATTTCCCTGCCAAAAAATAAAAAAAAAAAACACCAAAATAAGGACTTAGGATAAGAAAACATAACATACATTAAATTGCCTAGCTAGACATACCATGTCATGTGTAAATTGGCACATGGGTATTATTTACAGCCACTGGTTTCAGTCTCTGAATATTTGTATGAAATTAATGGTAACTGATTCACATAATGAAAAATTTTTGGGGCCAGATTTTGTTTTGTTGTTGGCAGTATTTATAGTTGAGGACAAATATTAATTTGATTTACTTGTACAATATGTCAGTGTCCATAAAAATCTGAGTTGTTTGCAAGGGTTATATTGATGAAATTAAATAACTTTGTACTGATCATCATTAATCCAGTATAAAAGCATGACTTAATTTCATGGTGAATATCAGGCCTACTTTGCATTTTATGGAAACTTATATTTCATCATAATATTATCTACAGAGTTAAGACTACAATGTAGAACATGATCTAGATTAATGTGCAGCCCAAAATCAAAAAGAAAAAGGCAGACTGTAATTTCCATTGTTGCGCTTAAAAACTGGATAGTGGTATTGACTCTACTAGAACCATGAGCTGAAAACTATGTTTCATTGTTCAAGCTACATCCTACAACAATAACTGATTCTACAGCACCACTGAGCAGCTGCTATGATGAAACAACTATATCCTAAGCAAACACATCACCTCCATGTTAACCCAACTGAATCCCCGAGACTGCCGCTGAATGAGTGAGCCATGAAAATGCAATGAAAAGGAGAGACAGACAGAAAGCAGAATGCAAAAGAACATTAGTAACACTCAAAAAGACAAACACTGAAGGAGAAAAGTGTTAAACTATGAAGCAGATCAATATGAATTATACATTAACTCAATACTGCGTAATTCCCACATCTCAACCTCTCGGGAATAAATGTAAGTTTTCCTTGCAAAAAGGAATACAGGCTATTTCATGTAGCTGAATTTTACTGAATAAAATCTCCAAAACCTCAAAGAGAGCAAATACAACAAATCTTACAATGACTCTATTCACGTATAATGAACGAATTGACATGTAATGGAAACAAATGAATAACAAATTTAGAACTTGTAGCACTGAGAAACAGAACAGATTTTCTCCCAGGTAAAAGCAGTATTGATGGGAGAAAAGTAACTAAAAAACACACAAGGAAACAAACAAAAGGGAACAAATTCTGTGCTCATGAGTGGGGCTTCCAGTTAACCTAGCAGGCTTCTCCTTCTACTCCTCTTTTGTAATGCTGCATTGGGAGCTTCTTGTAGAGAAGAAACAGTATCAACCTAAATCTCAAATGATATATTACACCACTAGGAGCTTAACTTTCCTCTCCTTAGTTTTTAAATTACTAGCAGTGCAGTACAGCCATACCCGATTTAGACTGACACCACTGTTTGTCACAAGAAGTAGTTTAACTTTCCTTTTCTTAACAGCTACCATCTAATTTCAAAAGTCTGCTTTTCCCCATGCTATGCTTGCTTTTACTGTTGACTCACATGATTAATGTAATCATGCAAATGTAATGCTACTGTTAGTTAAGCTTACCTTTTTCACATCTCTGACTAGCAAATGCAGCGTATTTGGTGGACCCAATCTCTGAAACAAAAATCATTCATGGTCCATTAGAGCTTCAATTCTTCAGATTTTTTGCAAACACAAATGTAATTAATGATCTGGCACTGTAAGCAGAACTTTAGGCAACCATGTGCCATCACACTCTGCAGGGGTGAAAAGAAGGAACTGGGCTACAATGACAAACACATTTCTATCAAGAGCTGTGTAATCCCTTTCTTATAATCCTTTATGTGGTGATTCAAGTCATAGCAGTTTGTGGTACTGTCTGAACTTGTACTTGCTGCAGGAGCCATAAAGGGACTGAAGGACTAGACTGAGGTTGTATGTTGTATGAATGCTGCCCTACACTACCTGCCACTTAAATGACGGGAAGAAAAACAGTCTAGAAATAGTTATGTTCCTAATGAATTTGCTGTGGGCTGGGTTGGGGAGAATTTGAATAAAAAAGCGTGATGTTCTATGGTTTTGGGAAAAACATTTTGCTTTGCTGGACCACAAGGAAAAAGGATACTAACTTCTGCAATGTGCTAAGAATAAAAGTGCTGTGTAAGTACTTCGCCAAATTTACAGGCTTATTTCAATAATATTAAAGTATACATACATGAAAAGTAATTGAGATTAAAAGTAAATGACCACTACTGGCTGGTATTAAATTTTTACTATCTACATTAGTTCTTTAAGTGTTCTGAAGGTGCATTTTAAATACATCACTATATTTACATAACAAACTGCAATGGCTTCTGAAAGCTGCTGTAGGCTTATTAATTAGGAGTGTGTATATGTAGGGACACAATAACATTGTATGTAGTAGCAACGGCTCCCTTTACCGCTCTCCAACATCTGTGGATTGTCAGGGCTCAGAGCTTTTTGGAAAAACAAGCATATCTCAGAAGGAGAAGAAGAAAAAGGATGCCCCTGTTAAATACAGTAGCAAAGATATCACAGGGAATTTTATTATTTCTGCTCACTCACGGTATTATAAAGTTCTTCCAGTCGAGGAATAGTGAGGAAGTGCTGCATGTTCACTCCATTCTCAATAAGTAGTTTCACAAAGTCCACTCGATCCAGAACCAGTGCATCCAGCATAGCCTGCTCCAAGGAATTCACCTGAATTGCAGAATGGAGAATGTGAGACTACATGAGCACCGAAGAGTTGGTTGGCCAACAACCACACACACTTTCATTACTTAGGATATTCTCAAGTTCCCAAATATGTTGATTAATCTCTAAGTGAAAAGGAATTTAGAAAATGATATTTTACCCATGTTCAAGTCAATACAGATGGTAGAGTTTTCCGATGAGGTCTTGGGCGAGAGGAGAGCAGTGAAAGAAACCTTTAGCAACACAACTGTAGCTTTCAATAATTTTGTTTAGTATTTTTAACTAAACCAAGCATATCATGCTTGACACATGTGAAAAAGAGGTTTACTTGCTCAACATGACAGGAAAAAGTAAAATTTAAGAAAAATGCACTGTATACTCTTAAGAAGAGGTTGACATAATTTACCCTGATAACTCGCATATGTATCACCCACTCAAACTGCTGCCTCACAGGGAAAGCGCAACATATAATGCTGAAAGACTCCAATCATTTGGGAAGAAGCACGTCCTCTTCCCTTTAGCTTACCTTAGCTCCCCTTAGCTACCAACTTAGCTTTGCCTTTGGAAAATGTTGGTCAGGAAGTCTAACGGATCTTCTCTTAATATGGTCTAAGAGGTTTGAACCCAGTAGGAGAGGGGAAAACCCCTTGAGCAGCAATCCCCTTGACACATGAACTTTAATCCAGACAACAGAACAATCTAACGTATTGCAACTGGAAAACGAAGCACTTAGAAATGGAGATATTTAAACTGCCTTCACTGGATAAATAACATGTACAAGGAAGGATGAAGATGTTCACTGGTGTTCTTATTGCCTTCTGACAAGTGCAGGGAAGATGCAGCAGATAAGCACTGAGTTGTACTGTTGTGGTATGGCTGCATGTGGTGCACACAGGATAAGAGAGGGATTCCTGGCTCAAAGACTGAACAGTATCCCTGCAGACTCTACTGCTGATCTTGTGAGACTGTGCAAATGAGGGTTCTATAGAATGAAAATATATATTTTCCTTCTCTCTTTGTCCCCCCAGGATGAAAAAAAAATGAATTCTTTAACAGTTTTAATACAAATAATCTTGTCTCACCCAGTTCAGGAGTTCAAGCTTTCTTGGGTCTGTTTCTTCTTCTGGCTCTTCTTTTCCTTTTCCTCCCTTTTTCTTCCCTTTTCCTTTCCCTCTGGCTGCTTTAGTCTGAGCTGCTGGAGATTTCTTTTCCTTCTCAGTAGCTGTACCGTCAGGAGCTGTAAGGCTTCCTAAAGGCTGTATTTAATAATGCATTAGAAGTATTAGAAATCTAACTGATCGCAGAGTGACTATTTCAGTGAATACACTCCTATTGAACTCACTCCCCAGTCACCACTTCTCACATGCAGTCAACTAAAAATTATAATTTCCTTAAGTATAAGGACCTTTTTGCATAGCCACAGCTTTACACTTTTTTTAAAGCTTTTATGTCTAATGTAGTCAATAACACTGAAAGTCAAAGTAATGAAGTAGGTAGACTGTGGAGGATTTCTCTCGCAAAATAAAATCAGTGCAAGAAGACTGGGAAGAGACACTACTCAGTTGTGTGACTGTGGTGGTTTAACCCCAGCCGGCAACTAAGCACGACACAGCCGCTCACTCGCTCCCCCCCAGTGGGATGGGGGAGAGAATTAGAAAAGTAAAAGTGGGAAAACTCATGAGTTGAGACAAAGACAGTTTAATAGGTAAAGCAAAAGCCATGCACACAAACAAAGCACACCAAGGAATTAATTCACTACTTCGCACCAGCAGGCAGGTGTTCAGCCATGTCCAGGAAAGCAGGGCCAGGTGGAATGTAATGGTTACTTGGGAAAACAAACGCCATCAGTCTGAACGCCCCCTCCCCCATCTTCTTCCACCAGCTTTATATGCTGAGCATGACATCATATGGTGTGGAATAGCCCGTTGGTCAGTTGGGGTCAGCTGTCCCAGCTGTGCCCACTCCCAGCTTCTTGTGCACCCCCAGCCCACTCGCTGGTGGGGTGAGGTGAGAAGCAGAAAAGGCCTTGACTCTGTGTAAGCACTGCTCAGCAGTAACTAAGACATCCCTGTGTTATCAACACAGTTTCCAGCACAAATCCAAAACAGCCCCATGCTAGCTACTGTGAAGAAAATGAACTCTACCCCAGCCAAAACCAGCACGATGACACTTCAGTTTCTTTGCTCTCAGAGAAAGCAATAGTTGCCAAAATAAACAGCAACAAGCATGATAAGGAGCCAGACAGAAAGAGCTTAACAAGAATTTTACATGATGCCAAATAGCATCCATACTGAGGAGGCAGAAAGGAGAGGGAAGGGAGCCACTAACGGGTTCATTTACATTCTGCAGACAATATTTCTGTTTATACCTCCTTCAGACACATTTACTTTTTGCAACGTCCTTCCCCTTTCCAGCCTATCTACCCAAGACAGGCACGCACACGTGCAAATAACTTGACGCTACTGGTCTGTGATTTGGAGGCTTAACTTGCTCCAGCTAATGCTTAGGTTATATAACCTCCACGAATGTGTAAACTGGATTACAACTATCCGTGCTCTGCAAAGAGAAGTACAGAACCAAGCCTTTAACAAGGCTTGTGTTCTGTGATTTTGTTCGTCTTAAAAATATGTTCTCTGCCTAGCTACCATGAATCCATTCGTAAGCCTGGACAAAACTGCAACTGCCAACTTGCAGCACAGGCTACTCTGAAAGCAATCTTTATGAATTTGAAATGACAGTGAATCGCAATTGGCTGATACCGTTTCCAGAAATTTTTGCAGAGTATGAGTATGAAATAGGTCAAAGCAGTAACTGGCTTCAGTTGCTAGGCGATACCTCTGAATCTAACCACAATAATATGGAGATTGGAACGTTCTGTCCAAATAAATGCTTTATAGTAATAATACTTCATCATCTTTAGGATGAGTAAATCCTCTCTGTATAAGCATTTTAATGAACCTTGAATATTGGAAACATCACATTACTAGAAATGAAGGAATAAACCAGCATATGCAGCAACATTTGTTTAAATTTAATTATAAGGGCTTCCAAATTAAATAAATCTCACCATTATGTATAGCATGCACATGAATAGTGTTCCTTTGAGTGTCATTTTATTGCATAGTTTCAGGAAAGACAACTAATTAAAAAAAAAAAATCTTGCACTTCATTCTTACTGCCTCTTTTAGGCTGATCTCCTCATGACACTTTACAGTAATTCAACAACAGATGGTTCGCACAGTAAAGCAAAAAGCATGAATACCATGAGACACAAAAGTGGCTTAAATAGAGGATTTTAGTTACACAGATGAATAAAGGCACTGCAGTGTTTCAGCATTGACTTCAACTAGTGCAGCATCAAACTCCAATAATTTGAGAAAGAAAATCCAATTTCAGGACCTAAAGCTTTACTGAAGATCTGCTTCTTAGTTCATTTGGCACAGCTCTGCCTGCCAGAGGCCTGTTTTCTGCAATGGTTTCTTCTGGTCATCAGGATTTTGCTCCATTAAACCAAATAGAGATTTTCACAGCTGTTAATGAAGTGAGCAATACAATTCCTTCTAAGCAGTTCCGTGAATTCCTTGCCACATACTTTAATAGGTAGCTGGGGACCTTGCCAACTGCTAGCACATGTCAATGACACAGACCGTCAGATGTCTACGCAAAGCTAGTGCATCACACAAGTTCACTGGGGGTGACCAGGACTGCTATTGTCCAGCTGTATGTAAGGCCACAGACTGTTTCCAGTAAATGCCTTTTTTTTTTTTTGGGTTTTAAAATCCCAAAGGGAACCTTAAAAAGGTTTTTTTTCTGCTTGTCATGAATTCTTTTCTTTCTTTCACAGAGTTTAAATTACTGCTAAATATTTGCTTTTTTTTTTTTTTGGCTTTCAAATCCCACAAGGAACCTTAAAAAGGTTATTTTTCTGCTTGTCATGAAATTGCTTTTCTTTCTTTCACAGAGTTTAAATTACTGCTAAATATTTGCAAATGGCATCATTATAAGGAAGTTTCAAAACAAATAGGTCATTCTTAATTAATGAGATATCCTACATCAGTTCGGCATGAAACAGAATTCAATACTGTTTCTCCTGCCAACAAAATCCAAGGTGTGAGTATTCCACCACTTATTTTAAATTGTTAACAAACAGTATGATTAGGAAAACTTTGTCTTACTGGCCAGTGGTGTCCAAAGACAAAGATTTGGCTGCGTGCAATGTCTACACGATTCCAGGCCAAAGCCAAGCTGAGCTGGTCTGGAGCAGATGCATTGGTACCTAAAGAGAAACACACAGATGTTTAGTATTTCATGCATGATGAAACAAGATTGGACAACCTTCTGTAATTCACTTCTCCAAGAACTACAAAAGAGCAAGCCTGACTTCATATCATACTACCATTATAATAATTCTACCACAAAGCAGTGGATTCATCAAATCAATTTATAGCCTCTTCCATTTAACCCCATAATACTAATTTCAAAAGGATTAATCAGATTCTCTCCCTTTTTTCCTTAAAGTTCCCACATTGACTTTATATTCTGATGCTAAATATAGGCATTTAACTGTTCTAGAAGACTCCTCCTCTCAGCTCCTCTGGCTGACGCTGTAGATATGAGTATAGAAATTCCTCTCTTTATTTCTTAGCTTTGGGGACTCCAGTGATCCCATACTGAGCCCATATCAACTACTATATACCTGCAGACAGAAACAAGTTGTTTCAGCAAACATAACAAACTCCAAACAAATATGGAACTGATCCTAAATTTTGCCCTAAGGCTTAAAGAGCACAATCTGAGATCTGGAAAAATCCAGATAGTCTTTTAATCTTCCCACCTTTTCTCCTAACTTTATTAGTATATGCTAGAACTGCAATAAAATGTGTTGAAATATCAGTAGTATAGTTGTTGCAGCATTGCCATCCCAGGCTTTCAGGTGAGGACAGCCAAACAAAACTTTCAATCTAGATTTTATGCTTCAAGCTAATCTGAACCTTAAGCCAAGCATCTTCAGGTTACTTGTTAGAATCGAACTGAATAAATCAAAGACTTAAACATCAAGAATGAACCTCAGACGGTGTATAGTACTGTCTTCTTGGGATCAATTTCTGCATCCTTCCTAATTGCTTGCATAACCCACCTTTGAGGAGAGCAGTTAAGATAGACATCTCAATGTCCTGTTGCCCTTCAGACCCCATGCGGAACACGGTAATCTAAAGGACAGCATAAAACCAAACACACAAAGTTACAACACATGAAAGAGAGAGACTAAACATGTGGATAGAAAAAAGAGCAGAATGTTGAAGCTTTGTTATTTTCTAACACTTGAGATTTTTCAAAAAGTACAGTCCCACTAATTTTTTCTTTGAAATTTAATTTTCACAAAAGCATTTAATTAAATTCTTTAAATAAAGGTATCCTAAAATATCCCTGCATTGGCAAACGTGATGAACTTCTTCAAAATTCTTCACCAAATCTGTGAATTTTGAAAAGTAGTGACAAAATCTGCCATGCCAAACTGATTGTTTTCTAACAGTTCTATTACTTTCCAGTAGTAATGGAAATGCCAGCTTGGAAATGGAAATGCTAGTTACCTGAAATAACTATCATAGAATTAATTTTATTGATGATAACACTCAAATATTTTTTAGTTGCAGGATATGCTACATATTGACAACCAAAAAGGCAGAATCAACTAATAAAGAAAAGCAATAATTTCTAGTCACATTTGCTTAGCTGAGTCCATTACAATTCACTGATTTTAAAAATAGTAATTCATATAAAGCTTAGCCATTGAACTATATATTAAAAGATTAATAACTCAAAAGCAGAATAACCTAATATTCTATGTTGATTAAGTTAATACTGAATGCAGACAAAAAATAACAAATTCTTAATTTTCCAAAAGCAACTCTTCACAGCAGATGCTAGCATTAAGTACTGGAAATAGCAATTTTCTCAACAGTTGGAATAGATTTTGCATGAACACAAAGATACATGACATTACAATAGAGAAGAACTAAAGGAAAAATTCTATTAATTAACAAGAAAGCAAACAAAATTATCAACAAATGCAAACCATAAGCCCGCTTAGGCTGCACAGTCAGTGTCTGAATTTTGCTGAGTATATCAGGCCTGCTCTGATGCACATTTTAAATTCGAAGCAGTTTGACTAAGGCAGCTGTGGACTCTCTTTTCTCAATCAATTCTTCTAGGAAGGCTGACTCTCTTACAGTCAGCTTATCATGGCCATGCTTATTACCAACTTGACTTCTGATGAAGGCATATGTATGGAACTAATCTTGGCACCATACAAATGTAAATATATCAACAGTACGTCTACATTACCCAGACAATCTAAAGACTTCACATTTGGAGCCCTTAAGTAAGATTTTATATAATCAACTGGGCACGCTAGTAATACTTCTGAAAGCGTAAGAAAAAAGCACAGATGGCTGTCTATTTGATTGCAGTACAGAGCTGCATTACTAGAAAATACAGCATTTGACATATTCTGTTCCAAGTGGCATTTGCAGCTGGATTAATCCTTAGAGAATTTAGTTCTGGCAAAGGTATTTAAATATATGTTGCTAAAAATCATTCAAAATTGCATAATCTGGCTTCTATGAACCCAAGAACTAAGTAGTATCAAAATCTGACCAAAAATCAAGAAACGGAAATAAAACTAAAATTGACCTTCTCTTCTTGCAGAAATCCCTCCCATACTAAAGGGAATTCAGTGTCAAATGTAATGAACCTTGGAGAGAAAAGCATTGGAGAGAATGAGGGAAGAAGGGAAACACAATTAGAAGAGACTTCTATGATACTATATAAGACGGGAAACTACTTTAAGCATTTAAGTATTTAGCTGTTATCTTGAAATGCAAGCAAGCACTCCCTTGGCAGCTGAGATCGACATGATAAAGAAAAGTCAGAGGCACGAGCCAATGCCCAGCATAATCTCTGGAAAAAGGCCAGCTATTTGGAGAGTGCGGAGAATAAGAAACTGGTAGAAAGTCTGCAAACAACCCGGCCATTACTTGACACAGATTCCCATCCCAATCCTATGTCATTTTAATTGTCACAGGACACCTTCCTGAAAGGCTTTGAGAATGGCTTTGTAGATTAATCCTGAGAGCCACTGGTCATGTTTTTTCATGTGTTCCTTGACTTAGCCAAAATCTCCTAACTTCACTGAATATTTTGCACGAGCTTTTACCTGTGAGAGGCTAGGCTCCTATGGCAGAAAATATACAACAGTACAGTTGCCATTATACTCTAAGAAATAATTTTACTTAACATTTGAAAATTTTCAAAACCAATTTTAGTGTCCATCTTCCCAAAGCAGGAGAAAGAAAAAATAGCAAACTTCTTTATAGCATAAACTTCCTTTATGTTCCAAATTCTTTGCTAGCCACCTTTCTACTGATGTGAGACTTAGAGAGGATTGAAAAGTAGAACAGGACATCTCAGAGAATCAGAGTTCATTCAGTGGATATGATGAACTGGATTTCTGGAGGGTTTTTATGCTCCTCTTTGTTCCTTGACTGGAACATCAGGGATAATTCTAATCTGATAAAAGTGATCTCATTTCCAGTGTTTACTTTAATTGCTCAAGAGTAATGTAAAAATAATGCCTTGATTGGTACGTTTATCATTGGGAGCAGCTTGTATAAAAAGAGTACTAGCACAAAGCTTAATGTACAGATTTGAGGAAGTTTCTTTGCGTTATGATTAGTACCACTGTGCTAAGTTCAGCTGTGTATCCGATTACTCTAAGTGGGGATCAAGTGGTAACTTTCTTGCATTAGCCCTTCACTCGCTAATAATATCAAGTCAATATGAAACCACACAACAGAAAATGATGGAACCAGAAGCATGCCTGTGCATGGTAGTGACAGCTCTAGCAAAAAATGATGGGACTGCTCATGTTCTGTGATCTCTGTGTAAATCGGGTCAAATTTTAGACAATTTGATTCAGATCTTACTTGCACAAAAGCTATTACTTAAGAATCAATGGCACTTACACAAGTAACATACAGGGGCTGCTCTCCTTTTTCACAACAATGCACCTGACCTCATGCTCAAAACTAAATCACTGCACCGATACCGAAGTATGTATGTCAAGGCTTAGATAACTAAAAATTACATTGTATTCATTTTCTTCGCTCCAAATCTGAGACTGGAAATGCAAACACCGGCAGCTACTACATGCAGTATTGCCATGGCAAGTAACAAGCAAGTACTCCAGGGAAAATACTTATTTCCCGTCTCCTGTCATACTTCTCTGGATACCAAAGCAGGATTTATTATTTCTCATCAAAGAACTAAACACTTACTTCGAGAAATCAAAAGAACACTCCATACTGAAAAGAGTAAGAACTGTAAGGAATGCTACATTCAGTTTATTGTTTATTTAAAATTTTAAGAAAAAATCACCTATTGCAGACAGTATTAAACCTGGGAAGGCCAGAGTTTAGAGTTTGTCTCCAAGCTGACCAAAGACAGAAAGTGTGGGCTGTATGGAAGGAAAACATTCTTAAAGGAGCACGAAACATCATTTTTCTAAGAACTTAGAAAAAATTCCGTCTTTTCTCAGCCTCATGAGAAAAGTTTCAGCTGTCATTCAAATACTTTCTTTATAGCTGCTCCTGTTATAGGCATCAATTCCTTAGTGATACAATTAGGCATCCTGAAAAACGAAACTGCCCCACATTTAATGCTTAAATTCAATAGCAGTTTGGTTATCTGATTCCCTACA